GGGTCCGCCTTGGGTGGCCCGCAGTGCCGGCGGCGTCGCCGCGGGAGCTGCGCGACCCCGGCAGCCCGGCCCGGCCTGGCTTCCCAGGTTCGGTTGCGGGAGCCCGGGGTGGGTGCTCAGTCCGTCTCCGAATTCACCAGGGGAAAGGGTGGGGGAAATAGGAATTCTCGACCCCTGCTTCTCAGGACCCCAGGGTCCTGCAGGACCATTTGACAAACTCCCCGAGCTAGTTTGGCTGGAGGACGGAGGCAAGGGGACAAATCCCCTTTGCGCATTGTTTTGGATAGGGCCTGTCATCCCGCGAGCTGTGTCGCCTGCCTCTTCCCCACCATCCACCCCCTTTTCCGTATCAGAACTTGGATGGGGTGACTGTGTGAAACACACCCCTCCACCTTCCAAACTTTAAAAAAAATATTGAAATAATGCAAAAAAAAAAAAAGTACAAAGGAAGGTGTAAGAATTCAGGACTTTAGGAGTCTTGTTGGACTTTAGGAGTCTTGTTGGGAGGAGAGGTTTTAAAAAGTCGTGCGGAGTTTGGAGTCTGGTCAGGGTCTTTGAACTTTTGGTTGCTGTTGTTTTTGAAGCTTCCTGGGCAATTCTGATGTTCAGTTAGGACTCGGTATAGTCCAGAGTCACATAGTAACAATGGCCAGAGTTTTGCTAGTCTAGAACCCACGAGGGAAACCGGAGCATGAAATGCACCCCTAAAGTTAATGAAGGAATCACGAAGGGATGCTGAAGTGTGGAGAAACGATGAACAGGTGCACAGGGAGTTATACTAAACTGGAAAAGGAAGACCGTCAGAAACGCACGATAGACTGGAGAGATGTCTCCAGGTTAAGTGTACTGGCTACTCTTCCAGACAACCCGAGTTCGATTCCCAGCACCCATACGGCAGCTCACAACCACATATGACTCAACTTCTAGGGGTTCAGATGCTGTCTTCTGGCCTCTTCGGGACCAGGCATTCATGTGGTATATATACATGCATGCAGGCAAGGCACCTAAACACACTTTAAAAAAAAATTAACAGGAGAAATGAAAAAGAAAATTACGACAAAGATAAAACAAACAACAAAAAACCCCTAAGAATACCTGGGTTTAGGAAAGGCATTAAATAAGCATTCCAACAACTCTCAGGATAGGAAAATAGTCACTCGGGAACATTTGGAGGACATGTTCAAATTCAGTTTTCTTTTTATCAACTGCAAAGTGAGGGAGACATCCAAAGGCTAGTTGAGAACCAGAGGGCTACAAAGCAGATACAATTCCTCTCTGGAGTGTGGTAAGCTAGACATTAGCTGCTACAGCTGACTGGCCTCCACTTAGACCTGCCTGCTAGCAGGTCCTGACTGGTTGGTTGATTTCTCTAGGCCTCACAGTGGTGCCTGCCTGGAGCTCCAGCTGTTTGGGAGACTGAGGCAGAAGGAACCCTTGAACCCGACAGTTCAAGGTCAATCATTGCAATGCAGAGAAACGCCAGCTGGAAGAAAAAAAAAAAAAGGACACTAATATATTGTATAAGACTTTTGGGATGTGGCACATGGTTAGAAAGTCATTGCCAGCCCCACTGAATAGGACTGGAATTTCACAGTACTTTTGAGGTTGTATTAAAACTCATGAAAGACTACTTGGGTTGGGGACCTTCACTCATGAAAGTTCATTCTCTAGGTCCTTTGTAAATAAATAAATAAACAAACAAACAAATAAATAAATAACATACAAGGCTGACAAAATGTCTCGGCACTAAAGCGTGTTGTCAAGCCCGACTCCTGAGTTCAGTGCCTGAAGTCCACATGGTGAGGGGAGAAGACACCCCAGTCCCTCAGTGATTATCATCTTTGTGCCACCCTCAGGATGTCACCTAGCCAGCCAGCTGTGACCTGGACCCCTTGAAGGAATGCTGAAGCCGAGAGTCTTTCTACCCTTGAGTCTTCCTCACAGACTTCTTACCCCTTCCCAATGTGCTTGAAAGCTGGAAGGAGATTCAGAATCCCCCACTGGAAAGATGAGGCGCAGGAGGTCTTAAAATATTAAGAGGCAGACTGGCCCAGGAGTCTTGCCCGCCTGTATGTGTGAGTTGGGAGGGAGGTAGGCAGGATGCATTTCTTGTTTCTTTTACTGCGCCAGTCAGTGTAAGTGGGATTTTGTTGCAGTTATTAGGATCCCAAGATTATAGGCCTGGCATCCGCCCTTGGCTTTGCTTAGCCTTGGGTTGGAGACTGTTGGAGTGGCTTCAGCAGACAACTGTTAAGTGCAGGAGGGTGTAGCACTTGGGGTCCGATCATCTCCTATCAGCTATGATGCTGGGAGAGCTGGATGACGCCTCCACATGTAGGTGCAGCAGGCGGTTCAGGCAGGACTGTTTCTAGATGGTGTCGCCCAAAGGAGCGTGGCCATGTCCCGGCTGCTTGTTGCCGTGCATCAAGTGCTGGTGGTCAGGTTGGGCACCCTGATTGGATCTTGACCTTGGTTCGCCTTCTCAGTGAGGTCACTGGGTGATGGTCTTGCCTGTCAGGGTTTTCATATACATCTGCATCTGGGTGTCTCCTCATTTGATGTTTATGTGTATGGGTGTTTTGCCTGCGTGTGTGTCTCTGCCGGAAGAGGATGTCAGATCTCCTGGAACTGCAGTGGCAGGTGGTTGTGAGGTTGTCATATGGGTGCTGGGAGTCGAACTAGTGTCTTCTGGAAGAGCGCTTAATGGCTGAGCCATCTCTCCAGCCTTTGATGTCTCCTGTTGCCTCCTTGGAGAGAGCGAGAGCTGCAGTCTGCATTTGTAACAAGCTGTTGGGGTTGAGCTCATAACTAACGTGGTAAAGTCTAGACGTGGGAATAATAGACTCTGGGTTCTGATCAGTGATTTCATTGAAAGGCTGTGGCTGTGGGCACAGGCAAAGCTGTGAGCTTTGTTCTCCAGCAAAACAGAAAATAACCTGGCTCGTGATGCCTTTATGGTGTGTGGAGACACCTCAGTTCGGTGAATGTGACCTCCTCACACACACACTGGATGTGAATGATGCTGACGGACCCTCGGTTGTAGTTGACCATCTGTGCCAAAGGGCATCTGTGTGGCGTTGCACACAGGTACATCTGCACACTTGGGGCTGTGTGCTGGAGACCCCAATGCTCCAGCCTGTAGGTATGTGTGAAGCGCTGCTGCTGGGCTCTGTGTGTCTGTCACCCTCGGGTGCTCTGGGTTTTTGGGTTTGTAACTTTTCTTTCTGATCCTTATCAGATGTAGATGAAAAGAGGAATGTGGAGCTGAAGATGGATCAGGCTTTGCTTCTCATCCACAATGAACTGTTGGGAACAAGCCTCACTGTATACTGGAAATCTGAATACTGTTACCAAGTAAGTTTTGTATGCATCCTCACCATTGGCTTGTTTGATACACTCTTCTGATGTCCTCACATCAGAGCCCTTTTCTTGTTCCCTTCAGATTTACAGGTACAGAGAATGGTTGGCAGTGATTAGTATCGCTCCCTCTCCTTTCTTAAAAAAAATTATTTATTTGAGTACTTACTGCTAGGCCACATGTAACAGGAATTCTTATTAAAATTTTTGTCTTGTTTTTTGAGACAGGCTTTTCTCTGTGTAGCCCTGGCTGTCCTGGAACTCACTCTGTAGACCAGGCTGGCCTCAAACTCAGAGATCCACCTGCCTCTGCCTCCTGAGTGCTGGGATTATAGGTGTGTGCCACCACCACCAACAACTAAGATAATTATTCTTATCCAGTAATTTCATTTTTGGAAATTTATGTTACGGAAAGAATTTAAAAAGAACAAGAACCTCATGTGTGGATATTTTAAAACAATCTATATGACAAAAATGTAAGGCTGCAATAGAAAAGATTTGAAGACATAAGTACCCACATGGTGACATATGTGTATTAAATAGAAATATGTAACATCGGATCTTGTAAATTTAGTTGTTAAATAATACTCATGGAAACAATAGGATGCAAGATTTAAAGTATTTATTAACTTGTGAAAAGTTAACTTATGAATAAAGACTGTTCAACTCCATCCTGGCAGTCATCATTTTAATATAAAATGGGTAAGTTTTATCCGAATTACTATAGTTTAAGTTTTTTAAAGTACAAAGAACAGTTAGGATTTTTCTCTTGGATATTGTGTCCCTCAACCACTGAGAAACTTTCGAGACCCCTAACAGGACAAGAGGTGTAGTTAATGGGAAAGAATGCCTAACAGCGCAAGGCCGTGGCTTTGATCCCCAACACTGCCAAACACTGCGGACACCCCAACACTGCGGACACCCCGACACTACGGACACCCCGACACTGTGGACACCCCGACACTGTGGACACCCCGACACTGCGGACACCCCGACACTGCAGACACCCCGACACTGCGGACACCCCGACACTGTGCCTCTTGTCCCTGTCTCCACAGTGCGCCTTCCAGCCTCTGGCGAACGTCTCTCACGGTGGCAAGCCTGCAAAGCCGAGCGTGGCAGCCGTCTCCGTGAGCACCCAGCACGGGTCCATCCTGCAAGTTAATTATACCAAGGGAGAGACGGCGGCTTGCAGGTCTGTGCCTGCTCGTCATGGTCTAACTTGAGTCCTCCACGCTTTTTGTTCTTCCTCTCTTTCAAACATGTTTTCTTAATCTTCCCGATCTGAACATAAGAATTCCCATTGCTCCTCACTGATGGTGTTAGCGGAGTCTCGCTTACGTGGTTCCCAGCCTTCCTAATACAGTTCCTCATGTAGTGGTGACCCCCTAACACCCCCCCCCTGGCATAAAATTATTTTGTTGCTACTTCATAACTGTAGTTTTGCTGCTGTTACGAATTGCACTGTAAATATCTGAGATGTAGAATAACTGATATTCAATGCCACGAGGGTCATGACCCACAGGTTGAGAACCACCGGTCGAGCTCCTTCCTTACTTCCTAATGTAACCGTGTGCCTTCATTTCACCTGCTCTTTTTAGGCTGGAATACAAATTTGGAGAATTTGGAAACTATTCCCTTTTGGTACAGCATGCTTCCACTGGAGCCAATGAAATTGCCTGTGACCTGGTTGTTAATGAGGATCCGGTCGACAGTAACCTTCGTATGTATATCTTTCTTCGTTAGTTTCTTAATTTGTGTTTTCAAAGTTTTCAGCCCTGTTGCATCTGAGGCTTCACGATGTGTTCATTAATTTAAAACATGGATTATGTATTGTCTATACCATCTGTTTATGGTACAGTTGTAGTTTCTTTTTGGTGCTGGGGATTAAAATAAGGACCTCAGACATGCTGGAGCATGTGCTCTACCGTTGGCCTATACCTCCAATTTTTACTAAGAAAATGAGATGATGCAGCACCCTATTTTGATGTTGCTAGGTCTACGCATGCATTTTTACAGAGCACACGCTTTCAAGAGTCCATACAGTAGAAAGAAGCTAGAAAGAAGCAGTTAACTTTCTGTTTGGGATTTAGGGCACAGTGTTTCCTTGACAACCTCAGCTAGCTGAGGTTCCCTTACGGTAAAGAACATCCTGAAGAATGAATTTTCTTATAACTCCACTGCAGAACGTCTATTAATGTGTGTGATGCTCTGTAAGGGACAGCAAGGAATCTTTGCATCATTATTAAGCTCTGTTCACAGAGAGCTAAGCGTGACGTTATTTTAAAAGAATGTAGAGCTGTTACCCAAGGGGCAGTGTGGGACAGCTTAAGCAGTTAAAAGAATAATGAGGCCCAGCAAGATGCTGGGTCCGGCAGGTAAAAGCACTGGACAGCAAGCCTGAGGATCCAAGTTCAGTCCCCTGAATCTCACATGGTAGGAGAGACCAGACTCCTGCAAGTTGTTCTCCGGCCTCCACACACACACAGCACAGCACTCATGCATACATACCAAACAGTCAAAAAATATGAATGTCACTGATGAAAAAATAGCATGTAGAAAGTATAAAAACACGGGGTTACTATGAAACAAAGAAGACGAAAATAAAAGTAATACTTAAGTTGCCTTTGGAGTAACGGGCACTTAATATGGACAGTAATTTAAAATGGTCAGGTGAGGGCCAGCGAGATGGCTCAGCAGGCAAAGGCGCTTATTGCAAAGCCTGAACCTGGCACCCGCTGTTTGCTGTGGCACCAGATAGACAGGCCTTTGCCAGCTCAGCCAATCTGTGTCACGTGGTCAGCTGCAAGAGGTGCCGCCTCGGTGTACGTGTGTTGCGTGGTCCGTTGTGGGCGGAGTCTCCTCTGTGTGAAAGAGTTATGAGTACCTTTGCATGACACTGTGAAAAACTTTCTGAATACCCTTTATCTCGGTCTGCGTATGTCCTTAAACTATATAATCAGACCATAATTTCCCTGTATATAATTATCGGGACCAGAAACTTAACATTGACACAGCACCGCTCTGTAGACCTTTAGACTTCCCAAGCTGTCTTTTTTTAACATACGTTTGTTTATTGATTGTGCTGGGGTGCCACAGTCCACATGCTGTGCAGTCACAGGACAGCTTTGGGGCTTTTGCTCTCCTCTACTGCGTGGGCTCTGGGGTCGGAACTCGGGTTGTCAGGCGTGGTGGCAAGGGCATTTATTGCTGAGCCGTTTTCCTCAGTGTCATTTCTTGGGATCTGACCCAGGACCCCACGCTGCCTTAGCTGTGAGAACGGCTCTGTCCCTGCAGTGTCCTTTGTCTTCTTGTCCCTTTTGGCTTTGAAGAGAACTGGCTGTTGATAGACGGACCCTGTTGGCTGTTTTCTCATGAGGAGGTAGAGGTTATCCATCAGGGGGTAGAAAATTCCCCAAGGAGAGTTGTATTCTCCTCCGTGTGGAATGACAGGAGACATCTGCGGTCCCCAGACCTTCTGCAGGACCCATATGTGTTATGAACACAGTGAGGACATAAGGCTGAAATGACATAATGTCTGGGCTTCAAAATATGTTAGCAAAACAAGAGGGGACCTAATACATGAGACCTAGCAATACCATTCTTTTTGTTGTTGTTGTTTCTGAAGATAGAACCCAAGTCCTTAAATGCAGGGTCAGCTGCCGGGCGGTGGTGGCGCACACCTTTAATCCCAGCACTCGGGAGGCAGAGGCAGTAGGATCTCTGTGAGTTCGAGGCCAGCCTGGGCTACAGAGTGAGTTGGAGGAAAGGCGCAAAGCTACACAGAGAAGCCCTGTCTCGAAAAAAAAGAAAG